AAGTGTCGGTTGTTTCAGTGCCGTTACCTGAGTGGCCGCTGTGTACTCGTCGTGTTGTTGTTGGTGTTTGTATTAGATTGGTCGTGTTGAACGTAGCTCTGTTCTTTCCACCACGCGGAACCTCCGCCTTGCAAACATTGCATCTGGCTGTTACACTGCCTTCGCTTTCAATTTTATAATACTTCCAAACTCCTGACATTTTCTCTGTCCCGACTCCCGAGTCACCAGCTGAACGTAGCCTCTTGTTAGCTTACTGCTACTATTAGACACTGCGCCCACTCTGTTGCCAGATTTGAGAGAAATAAGCAACCAGGTCTATGAAAACAAGCCCAAAAGAAGCAACACATACATGATGTTGTGTAATTTTAAACCAAAACTAAGGCCTCAGGATGACTTTAAGACGTGAACATGGTCATTTTTGTTTTGTAACATTAAATAAAATAATAATAAAAAATTCATAAACATTTTTTTTTTTTTATATTCCCGATCCTCGATTTTTTTCTTCCGATCTTTTGAAAATCACGTGATCGGCTCCGATCACGTGATCGGCTCCGATCCCGATCACGTGATCGGATCGGGACATCTCTACTTACCAGCTCAGTTCTCCGCCTCCTTCCTAGTAGAGGCTTGGGTTATCAAGGGTGGAGCCTTAATAGAGCTGGATGGAAGCCAACACAAAGAAATGCCTCGTCTTTTCCTCTGAGAATCTCAATGAAAAGAGCTGATGACTAAGCAGTAGTGATAGAATGTGCTTAATTTTCCACCATCGCTACATCAATAAGTGCTATTCATTATTTACCAGGAGTGCCTCAAAGCCTTTCACCAGCCTAAAAAAAGTAGGGTCACAAGTTAAGAAAATTCCACAGGATACCTGGTCAGGTTTTATCCCACCTTAACCTCTAAATTATTACTATTCCTGAATTAGTCTAGTTCGTGTCCAAGTGAATTATTCAAAAGAGTGGACCATGTGCATATTCAGCCCTAGGTGGTTACCTGTCGGTCACCAGCGCCTTTTGAATAATAGATGTGTAGTTTTTCTGTTGCTACGTTATCTCTATGTACACTGTGGAAAGAAGCTGTCCATCAGGCTTCTCTACTCGCAATCTCTTTACTGAATCAACACATCAGACTGTCCCGACTACAAATGAACGGGTTGTTTCCATGAGGTGGTTCCATATTGCTCTCGATTGTTTGCACTTCACTAACATCTTGCTGCGGCCTGCCTGAAATGTGCAACCGAGAACATGTTGTAGCTGCATCGGTGTTCATTGCTCTGAGCTGTCGGGGCTTTTTATTTTTCTTCGTAGCTAATGGCTCGTTTAGAGAAAATGCATCATTCAAAGGTTGAGTGGTTGTTTGATGGTGCGATCCTACCAATGTATTATTTGTATTTAAGCTATGCCTGAAGAAATCAGAATTAGAAACCGGTGTATTGCCAAGTAGGTTTACACATACAAGGAATTTGCCTGGGTGTGTATGGTGCATACACAAACACAGTTAAAAAAGATCAATTGTAATGAAAACAACCCAAAAAAAAAATCGATTAGAACATTAAGATATAGAAAATGATTATTACGAAATATAGATATACCAAAAACCTACGTACTGTATACTATAACAAAATACTAGTATATAGAATAATAAAATATATGCAGTATTGTTACAACATTGCCATTGTACTCTATGTGCAGTTTTGTTATTATATCAAGCACAGTTTGTAAAATACATATCATTTTTGGGCATTTTGAAACTCTAAAAACAACCAAAAGTGTTTCCATCCAGTCATTTTCTCTACCTAACCACTGACTGTGTTATCCATATCTTTGGTTACATCATAAGAGTCTTTCTTGTCCCTTTCCCCCCCAGGTGTCCCCTTCAAGCGAAACTTTATGTCCGTGGCGAAGACCATCCTGAAGCGCCTGTTCAGGGTCTACGCTCACATCTACCACCAGCACTTTGACTCTGTGATGCAGCTGCAGGAGGAGGCCCACCTCAACACGTCGTTCAAACACTTCATCTTTTTTGTTCAGGTAAAGAATATCTGACATACGAGTATGGACTTTTATTTATGATATTACTGTATATGAGCGTTACGATCTAGTTTATAGCGGATCATCTGACTTGTGTTTGCTCCCTTCCCTGTCTCTTTTCCAGGAGTTCAACCTCATCGACAGGAAAGAGCTGGTTCCACTTCAGGAGCTGATTGAAAAACTGACAACCAAGGATAGATAAATAACAATGTAACCCTTATTTTATTGGTCTTCTAGTTTTTTGCACAGATACCCACCCCGCCCTGGCTGTATGTATGCAGTAAATACTATATTTCCATTTGGGGAAATGTTTTTAATAAGGCCAGGAAGAAGGAAGGGTCTTGATAGGGTTAAGGCTAACGCTATCAGGGATTACACACTAGAACAAACCACAGATTAACATATAGGAGGAGATGTTTTTATTGGTATGGAACGATCCCCAGCATTCAGTCATGGCTTACATTTAGAATAATATAGACTTATGTTCATTAGTTTTTTATTATACTGCACAGATGTTTGTTTCACTTGGATTTATGGCAACACGAGGCGTTTCGATGCTCTTAGATTCCCATTTCTAACTCACTTGCTGGGTAGAAGTGTGTAAGCAAAGGTACTGAATCATATTAGGAAGGCTATGGGGGTGTTACGGCAAGAGTTTAAGCCAACTTCACCGCAGTAGCTAGTTATTTTATTCAATTATCTACATGGATGGATTTGGGCTGGGGTCTGCTTTTTTCTCATCTGTAAGAGCCTGCATCCTTCAAAACAAAATAATCCTAAGTGCCTCACATGGCTCATTTTTTAGCCCTATTTCAACAAAGAAAGCTGTAAGAAGATAAATGCCATAAACCACTGACTTAATAGACAAAACATTAAATGATCCATGCCACCTCCTTCTGAGTTTCTGTGGTTCTATATTTACGCCCATTTTCTTCATACTCGCCAATGTTATTCTTACTTAGACAGTCTATTAACCAAGTGTTCTGTGCAGGTTATGATAAATGAATGTTGTGAGGACATAGAAATAAGGCTAGAATATTGTCATGTTGTAGCATGGACTTAAATTGATTAAACTTCGTAGCTTTTCCTTTAGTGACATGTTCCTGTGTACGAGTTGTTTCCCCTCAAAACTTGAAGTAGAAACAAATCTTAGGAAAAGTCTTCAAGGGATCTCAAATTGTATATAAACGTCCTCAAATAGAAATAGAGACCTGTGTTTGAATTCACGACCTAAAGTGTTAAATAATAATTGGATTATGCTGCATCCCTTGTTATCTCACTAGCCATAAAGCACTTTGAACTATTTTCCTGACCTCTTTTTGCCTGAATGTTTATTCTGCATAGACTGTGCTTTGTGAGAAGCTGTATCATGTGACTGATCATAGTTTATTTCCTCCCCTCTTACTTCCCCAAATGAATGTTGAATTGCTTAACCTCCTCTGAAATTGGCTGTGAGGCACACGTGAGATTTATTATGCTTTTGTATGGGTTGTTTGTTGCTGTGCTTCAAACGGCAGATGCATGAACCCTTCCCAATATCAAATGTTGTTGACGATGCAATCATTTACACTAAAAGGGTGGCTCATTCATACTTTATCTAACATTAATTTCCTTTATAGTGCTTAAATCCTGGGTTATGATGAAATGGTCTTTCAGGTTTGGTTTAAAAGCAGGGAGATGAACACTTTATATATCGTTATATATAACTTGTGAGAGAGGTGTAATACTTCAATGCACACATGTAAATACTGAGGGTTAGACCTGTCTTAAAGATAATTTTTCAGCGAGCATGGAGTGGCAGCTTTTGGTTAAAGAATCATGTCTTTTTTGAGACTGCTTTCCTCCCCCATATTGAAACCTTGTTTGTTTTATTGTATCTTTTCCCACTTCCTTAGCTTACTATTATGAATGTTACTGCTCACCAGATATCCGAAAATGTAATAGAAAATCAGTCATCCTGAAAGCATCTCATCTTTATGAAATGCTCGTAACATAGCCTATTGCCTACGGTTTTTCCTCCTTGACTGTAATAATTCTTGAGATGTTTGTAAATATTGGCTTGGTAGGGGTTTTCAATGCTACTGAATTGATTTATGCTGTTTACAAGGAAAATAAAGGTGGTCTTCTCTTGACTCTTTGAATGAAACTTATGTTTATGTATGTCAAGTGCAAATTCCAGGTACTTAAGCTAAAACTTTTCCTGTCTATACCACTTTACACTGCGTTCCAATACATTTCAGAGGGAAATGTACCATACAAAACACATTTAGTTTATAAAATATATTGCGTTTCAGATTAAATATATTGTTAAAATCCTCTTTAACCAACTACAAATAAAGTGCTGCTTGAATGTTAATTCATCGTTGATCATTTTCCAATCATGTAACTGACTGAACGCTTTCTGGCTGATGTTAACTTTGATAATTAATGTACGTTGTTTTCAATTAATTTACTTGGGCAACATTTAAAATGCTTTACTTTGAGTCCGACTATACGTTTTTATGATTTGTGGGGATTGTGTAATGAGTATTTTAATAACCTAATACATTTCCTCAAAAAGTAAAGGTTTTATAGTATAACATTACAATTTATACTTTTTTTTTTTAAACGTATTGTTTCTACATATCAAAGAGAAATGCTGGTTTTTATACTTTACTACATTTATTAAATAGCTATACCAGTTACCTTTTCAAATTAAGAATTGTAATATAAAAGATGCATTAATTTAGATTAAAGAACAAAACTATGCAATGCTTCAACACTGACATGGACTATTCTGCAGAATTAGTACTTTTACTTCTGATACTATAAGTAAATGTTGTTTCTAAAGCTAATACACCTTTGGTAACAATTCAATCCAGGGGTTTCTCTTAATAATTCAGTATGTATTGCATTTGATGGTATTACAACAACACAAAGCCTGGAGCCGGGCCACGTGAGGAGGCAGCTGCTGCTTCCTGGGCGGGGACACAGCGCGCACCAGACCGCCACTTCCTGACAGGGTTACCGCCAAACTTTAAACAACAAGCTGCAGCTCTCACCGCTCTGATTAACAAATAGGTTTATTCATTTGCAGAAAATGTCTTTAACTCCAAAGAGGTCGTGTTCTGACTCAATAGACGACACTATGAACGACTCCATGGAGAAGAGGATACGCCGGATATCAATTGAGGGAAATATTGGTGAGTAAAGCACCACTTTATGGCGAAAATAATTTTAAAAATCTAGCTCAGAACCTTAACTGCTCGCTAGTTTAGGTGGCAGGTGTTGCGTTCCAGACAGTGATAACTCTTTATTGATCCACTATTGTTTTGTTACAGTTTTTACCGCCAATTGAAGCTTGCGTTTTATGCCTCCACTTAACTATACCAACAGTACAGCTAACATACCTTGTGTATGTGTTGCTACATGTCACTGACTATGATCAATGTTGGCTTTCTGGATCCTTTTGTGTTCAGCGGCGGGCAAATCTACCTTTGTGCGGCTTTTGGAGCAGGAGAGCGGGGACTGGGAGGTGGTACCAGAGCCGATCGCCAGATGGTGCAATGTCCAAACAAAAGGCAGTGACTTTGAGGTATTCACATGCATTTTTAAAAGTAATGGTCCCAAATCAGCCAGTTGGCACCTTTATATATACAGTCTATGGTTGGCACCCATATACAGTGAATACGCAGCACACTGTTGTGGAATATCTTCACATCTGCTTTCTTCACATCTGCTGTGTTTACAAGCTGCTTCCTCTTTAAGTCTGGGATACATTTCATTATGCACCAGCATGCTGCGATCCTCTCTCAACCAGTGATTCAACATGCTCTGCACACATGAATATGACAGGGAGAGTCTTCATCTGTATTTAGAGTGCAGCTGCCATCTGTCCACATATCTGCACAGGTCATCACCACACACACACACCCAACAGATGGTCCGTCTCTGGACAGATGCCTTCCTAGGGCCGGGGCGAACATCTCTGACCCCCCAACACAACCGCAGGGCTAGCCTCACCCTCACACTCATTAGTAGTGGTTTAACACACCCACATATACACATCACTCATACTGTGGGTTTAGCAATATGCAATATTCAGGGTGATTTGAACTAGTTTTTTGGCATATCATAACATGTACTGTATCTTAGAATGGTATAGTTGTCTATTGATGACTAAGGATTCTGATACATCTGAATTAATGTCCCCTTAGTTCACTGTAAAAGTAAAGGGATATTATCAGTATGGACAACTGTTGAGGAATCCTCCTACACTCATCTGCTGCCACAACTCTCAGTATATTGTGAACAAACATAGATGGTTGTGCGCCCTCTGCTGATCAGGATGATGTTAAATAGTTCATGAGAATCATGCATGATGGAATGAGTGTGTTTAAATAATTCTGCTTCAGTCATCAATCTTGCGAGTTGTCATTTTTAATTTTAAGCTTTGGAAAATGCTCAATTTTTTTTCTTTTGCCAAAATGCAACATTGCAAACATTATCCAGTTGCTGCAATTTCAATGTGATGATTTTCACTAGCTTACACATATACTAGGAAAACAACCACATGTTGGGTTTGGATTGCAATCTGAATGCAATCAATGTACAAATACATGGACTGTACACTAACCTATACTTGCAACAGACTTATTGATCCCTAATTGGGATGCACTCACTTATGACCTCTATTACATTCCCCTTTTCCCTGTGTCTCAGGAGCTGACCACCTCTCAGAGGAGTGGGGGGAATGTGTTGCAGATGATGTATGAGAAACCTGAGAGGTGGGCCTATACCTTCCAGAGCTACGCCTGCATCAGCAGAGTGCGCGCTCAGATCACGTCGGCCAATGGGAAGCTGCGAGAAGCCGAGAACCCTGTGCAGTTCTTCGAGCGCTCCATCTACAGCGACAGGTACCACTGAAAAAAAAGTATAAAAAACATTGGTGCAGATATAAAAAAAGATGACAGTGGTTATCCATCACTCTTGGCAAAAACTGAACAGTTTGTGTTTTGGTATTCATTTTAAGATGTCATGGCTTATAAAGAAATTCAATCTTTTTATTGAAAAATATGTTTTGATGGATAATGGGATTAATGTGAATATGCAGCTTGCAATAAACACTGACTATGGTTATTTTGTTATATGTTTAATCATCTGAAAATCCTTGTCCTTAATGTCCCAGGTACATCTTTGCAGCCAACCTGTATGAGAGCGAGTGCCTGAACGAGACGGAGTGGTCCATCTATCAGGACTGGCACGGGTGGCTGCACAGCCAGTTTGGAAAGCACATCGAGCTGGACGGTATCATCTACCTCAGAGCGGCCCCGGAGGTAGGCTGACGGACTCTGTTACCTCATTGCAATTAAACTACACCGGAATAGAATGATCTTGCGAAGGAAAATACTAAGGGAGTCACATTGATAACTATGTGTTATGTCATGGAGGGATATCATCATCTTTTTAGTTTGTAATTCCCAAAGCAAGTCTGTGTCACTATTACATCCTAGTGCATCACCTTTCGACAGCCCATTAATGATATTGTGTCAACTTATAGTTGTTTATTCTGACTCAATTTTAGAATTATTACACATTTTGTTTAGAGGTAATATGTTATATGATCATATCAATCGCAGGCAACTGAACTGCATCTAATACAAATCATATTGTGGTAGAAATTGCAAATAATTGATCATATTGTTATGAAACCTGAGGTTTACAGGTTTCAGTACATACAGATTTCAATAATATGATTTTGTTGTGTGTAGAAATGTTTACAGCGGTTGCATCTGAGAGGCAGAGAAGAAGAGCAAGACATCCCTCTGGAGTATCTGGAGAAACTCCACTTCAAGCACGAGAGCTGGCTGCAGCACAAGACCATGAGGTGAGCACACACACATGCATCAAACGTTGCATTGCTGTGTGGACAACAGATGTATTTTTATAACAAAAAAAGGGTGTTCTTACTGATATTGACCATAAGAAAATACCCCATTATTGCAATAACCTGAGGTCAACTAATACATTGAAACTGTTTTGATACATGTGATCTACTGGAAATTGGTTAGTTTGTCCCATTCTGTGTACACGATTTACTAACCAAGATTTTTCATCCTCTGAAGGGAGTAGCTTAATTCATATTCAGGATACTTTATCCATTTTGATGTTGCTTAATCATCACTGACAGTGTCCCCTGTCCTCTCCGGCCCACAGAACGGATTTTGAGTATCTCAATGATGTGCCCGTTCTGACCATAGATGTAAATGAAGACTTTAAAGGAAACAACAGCAGGAGCGCTGACATGATTGAGAAGGTGAGTGACGGTTCAGACAAATTAAAGATTTGAAATGGACAAAGAATGGTTTGGGATTTGTCTCCACCCAAATACTCCAAACACGCCTTTTTACTTTGTTATCCCCACAGCTGGATTATTTAACCAGAGTATCGCCTTTTGATAATGATTTTTTACTTTCAGAGCGAGTTTAGTTCCACATTTATTGTTTGCATTCGTGACTTTAATTACTTATTTTTGATATGCAAACACAAAGGATGACATCATAGATATAATGTATGTTACCTGTAACTACCTAACCAGAAAGTAGTTCAAATGGGCTCCACCTCCACCAGCTCAACATCAAAAGAGTACATTCATGTCAATCTAACAGTAATCCTATCTGATGCAGTATGAACGAGCTATTAAAGCATTACATGGTATAATATTGAGCATTTCATTTTTGTTTTCTTATAATAAATCTGAAGCATGTTTCTAATGCAAATCAAGTTGTTTCAATAAGTACACGTTTGTGTCATTTGAGAGAAGATAGAATAAGGCATCATGCTTCACTTTAATCAAGAAAATGACCTTTAGTTTAAAAGATTTGAAACCACTTCATTTGTATTAGAAATATGTTCGCCCAATTTTCACTTAAAAATAAAACATTTGTTCACTATTTAGAAACCAAATCAAGTATAAATAGACAGTAAAATGTGTATTGGGGGAGGTTATGTGTACTGAGTGTGTTTGCTGTGATACTGACACACACACATCCAGGTTTCACCTGTGGTAATGAGGCCTGCAGGGATGCTTATGTAGCAGTTTCATGTTGATGGTAAACACAGACGCTTGTTAGAGATTTCACAATGTTTCCAGTTATCAGCATACCCCATTGCACCAATTCGGAAAGCTACTTGTTTTTCACTTATTGTGATTTCGGAATAATTTCCCTAAAGAAAAGCAATGATTGTACTAATGTGTTAACTCATTCATGCTGACTCTTGTTTTTTTATTTTTCAGGTCAAGGAGTTTTTGAGCACTTTGTAAAATTCAACTGATGATAGAGATTTAATTTTTTGCTCAAAGAAGAGAACCTGGATGGAGTTTTTTTATAATGATGAAATGTATCAACAACTTATTTGTCTACCCCCTACAATCCCCATTAATGATCTGACATGTGGCGTTTTTCTAAAAAAACGTTTTTATTACTGTTTTCTTACATTGTTGGTGTATTTATAAATATTTTGTGTGCATATGCATGCCTGTTGGTCCTTACAAATGACAATAAACTTGAAATACTTTATTAATTGTGTGTGTTTCCTTGTCTAATATATACTGTAGAAATAAGTCCTGAGAAGAAAGTATTTTTTCAAATTAAAATCATTTTAGTTTATTTAAAAGTTAGCGCTGAGCTTCAGTCTGCAATGTTCAAAACAACAGATAAAGCCAGAAATCTAGGTGTAGTCATGGACTCTGACCTGAGTTTCAACAGTCACATTAAAACAGTTACTAAATCAGCCTACTATCACCTAAAGAACATATCTAGGATTAAAGGACTAATGTCACAGCAGGATTTGGAAAAACTTGTCCATGCTTTTATCTTCAGTAGACTCGACTACTGCAATGGTGTCTTTACAGGCCTCACTAAAAAATCTATTAGAAAGCTGCAGCTAATTCAGAACGCCGCTGCTCGAGTCCTCACTAACACTAAGAAAGTGGATCACATCACTCCTGTTCTGAAGTCTTTACACTGGCTTCCTGTGTGTCAAAGAATAGATTTCAAAATATTGTTGCTGGTTTATAAAGCTTTGAATGGTTTAGGCCCAAAATACATGTCTGACCTACTGCTAAATTATGAACCATCCAGAACCCTCAGGTCTTCAGGGACTGGTCAGCTTTCTGTCCCCAGAGTCAGAACTAAACATGGAGAAGCAGCATTCAGTTATTATGCTCCGAATATCTGGAACAAACTCCCAGAAACCTGCAGGTCCGCTGCAACTCTTACTACTTTTAAATCCAGGCTGAAGACTTTTCTTTTTGCCGCTGCTTTTAATTGAACTATTCACATCTTAAACTGCACTGTAACTTTTAACTTTTATCCATGTATTTTTTTCTTTTAATGTTTATTTTATTATCTTTCCTTTTTAATGACTGATTTTAAATGCCATTTTTTAAAATGTCTTCCATTTTTGTAAAGCACTTTGAATTACCTTGTGTTGAAAGGTGCTATATAAATAAACTTGCCTTGCCTTGCCTTGCCTAAACATCCAAACCCAGGGTTTATTGATTTCAAAATAAAAGATTGTAATAGCTGGCCTTTATGGCTCAGACTGGAATCTTCTCAAGTCTTCCAGAAGATGTCGCCAGTCCCCATAATGCACTTCAGTCAGCTATTTCAGACTGCTGAGCTTCTTTTATCTGGCAGCTTTAATGGAATGTTATTAAACCTACCTGAAATAGGTGCCTTCCTTCACCTATGGCGCCTTGTATGTATGTATGTATGTATATATATACATTATATATACATATACATTGTGATATGTATATTAAATATGATATATATATATATATATATCATATTTAATATACATATCACAATGCACAGCAATGTGTAACCCCTAACCCATTAAAAACGTGTTTAAAATCAATAATGACTAGTTTAGTTAGTATGTGACCGAGATACAAACTGAATACACATCAGCATTTGTTCATAGGTTGAATCTTGATAGAAACTGTACTTTACAAATAAACAGGGTCCACGCTGATGGAATTCTCCATCCAAACAAAGAAAGTGCGTCTAATATTTATTTATTTTCATTTTTGACATATCCGGTGATATTATATGATGTCCTTTAAAATGCAATGTGGACAGTAGACAAGCCCTTTGTAAAGTTTAAGTGTTGCTGCGCCACCCATGAGCAACTTTGTGACCTCCACCCCCCGGAGGCGTCACGCAGGAGGAGGGATGGCACTTTAAATATGGAAAAAGACACGCTGCGGTCTCAGAGGCTCTCCACAGCTTCCAGCGAGACACAAAAGGAGACTTTAGCTCAAGATGTCACCTGGAGAAAACCTGCAGCAGTCCAGCACGATATGAAGATTGTGTGTTACAAGTTACATTTGATTTGTAGAGTTGCAGAAATCCTTCCAGAGAGATAGCTCCTCGACTCCTTTCTTTCTTTTATCCACTTAAAAAAAGCGTCAGCTAGAGTTTTTCAAACACCGACTACAAAAGGACTGCTGGACGCCACACTGATCATCTGTAAAGGCGAACTTTGTCACCATGAGTTCCGAAAAGAAGTAAGTTCATGATTTTCCTTTTTTACTGTTTTCAGCAGTCTGAGTAACCATGTTTGTGAACTTTTACTTTGTAGCTTGCGGTCCATTTCCTGCCAGGTGTAAATTAGTCATCAGGTGAATATCATTCAGCAACTTAACTAAACATTCAGTGTGCTTTCCGTAATATTTTCTGTGCGTAAATTCAGTGCATCATCTGGGTTGAGTTAGCCATTGGTGCCATACATTTAGTAAACTTCAGTGAACTATTGATTATGTTCAGAACTGTTTGAAAGCAGCTACACCTTGGCTGCCTAAGCCACTGTTGCCTTACTGCTGTGGTTATGGACGTCCTGTAAAAGGCTAATCTATTTTCCAGGCTGTCATTCTGAGTTAGAGTGACGCGGGGAAAGCAGGCCAAGCGTTGGAGAGTTGTCCCTGGTGTAACTTTATGATTAAAGCTGTAGTGTATGCCTCAGACCATGCGGTATCCGAGCTGAGCAGACGCCCCAAAAATCCACACTGGTTGTGAGCCAGCGTGTGTGTACACGTTGCGCAATGACGCAGCAGCCGCAACAAATCAGACTGGAGGGTTACTACCAAACACGGAAACGCACTAGTTAGTGTGGAGAAACTTTTCTGACATGCACCTGGAATTCATCAGCTGGTTTGCGAATTTCAGCTGCAGCCAGTGTACGTAAGATTTACAGTATCACTGTGACCCCCACTGAATTGTTAGTAGGTGCATGTGGCACAATCCCTCAAAGCAACATGGGGTGAAACCAAGAGTAAACAACCTGTAGTGACCTAATGTTGCTGTCCTTTGCTTTCACAATGGCTGCAGAAACTGCAAAAACACAAGATTTTTGTATTCCTCATTCTTTAGAGTCATTTCTCGAAATGTGTTGCAATGAGGAAATGTTCCCTTTACTTTTGTTCCATGCAATGACTTGTGTGCCTCTGTGCTGTCGGGAATGGTGAATGCTCCTTTGTGCTCTGCTGAGTGATGCGCACTACAATTGATATCCATCCATTTCCTCACCTATGCGAGGACATTCCAAAAGTGAAGGCAGACCTGTTGAGCGGTGGTTCATTTAAATGAAATGATTGCCTAAGCCCCAAGCCTGTTTTTCCGGTCTCAGGCTCGAAAATGACATTCCCAGCACAAATGACTATATGTTCACTTCTAAAAGGGGTAAATTAATCATCTTTTTTCTCAAAGCAATGATAAACCTGTGAGTTGGATGTAGAAAAGTCAGAATCAATATAGGTGTTTTTTTATTTTAAAGTAAATTCAGATTGAACATAGTAAAAAAATGTAAATTATAGTGTCTGTCCAAAAAAAACATTACTTATAGTGAAAACTACCCTTGAATGATGGGATAGTAGACTAAAACCTTTAGGAATCCAAACTATAGCATATAATAAGTACCCTGTATCAAAATTGATGCAAAACAAGTGACATTTGGCCTTTTTAGAGAGGTTTAGAAAAAAAAGACCCACTTCGGGCGGGGGTCCTTTGGGTGCATTTTCCATATCTCTGGCCTCCCTTGGTCGATTTTGATGATTGACATCTCTTTTGAACCGTTAGAGCCAATAGGGGAAGTTCCTAAATCCATCTAAATATTTCCATTGAGGAGTGAGAGTGATGCGCACACAGTTTGCCCAAAACCGGAAGCTGGGTTGTAGCTCTGATAGCAGCTAATATGAAATCTCAGTTTTTGACAAAAATTGAATGATGGATTATCACTAATTATTTCAAAGTGACACAGACACATTGGATTAACCTCCAGCAGCGTTTTTCTCCCATTGAACACAACTTTTGATCAGAAACAGCAAAAGGTAAGACATTATTTGCCGTTTTTGCTCCATAAAGCTACGTCGTGTGTTGTCTGGGTTTGCTTCCCCTGCCGTTTTGATCGCACAGTGATGATACTTATATTTCTAGAATCTGTGGAATCTCAGCTTGCTAGCTGATATCTTGTTTGTGCAGATCCGATAAGTAATAAAGTATTTATACGGTGAGTTCTGTGCTAAGTGTGTTAGCATTTTTTCGCTCGGGGCTCATTTAGACGCTTCTTGTGAGACTTGTGTTTTGTTTCGGTAAAAATGGTTCGTATTGTCAGTTAGCTGAGTTTCTTCCCGTTAGAGGGGTATGATACATTCATAGTTTGTTAAATGTTAAGAAGCCCTGAGACACAGTTTCGTGGGGGGGGGGGGGGGAGATTGGCTGCTCCCTCTGTAAAGAGATGGAGATGATCCCTGATCCCCAGCAGCTGATCCCGGCTCCTCACGCACCGACAGCTTTATCCAGCCTCATGAGGTCAAGACACAGAAGTGAAAAGTTGTGAGATGACTGCATCTGATCGCTCTGACCCTCAGCCAGCTTTGATTCTTTTTATTAATCATGCAGAAGAAGACGAATGAAAAAGAAGATCAAGAAGATTTAGCAGTGTTGATATTTATAAGGAGAACAAGGATCTTATCGGTATTGTGCTTCATATACATTTACAAGAGATGCATTTGGCTTTTATCTTTTTGACCGGTTTTCACATTTTTGACATGAAGTCGTTTAGACTTAAACACTGTAGAGTAGATTGAGCTTTTTCACCTTGCAGCTCCCAACACCCCCTCTGTCTTCTGCATTTCATCCCACTTTACATCCCGGTCTTATTATTTTAGTTTTAGCACTTTTCAAACAGGAACTCTTTTCCTGCATCCTGTGTGTCTGTGCACCACCTGTGGTATGTTTCTCAACATGAGGGTCTCCCTGTCTGAGGCCTTAGAGTAGATCGATTTAACGTGGCTCCACAGACTGGCCATAGTTAACCTGCAAGTTGAGCTTTCTTTGCTCTCCTGTGAGACCAATAGTTTTTAGTGAAATGACCTGCCTGCATGGTACATGTTGCAGACGTAAACGCTACAGGATGGAGATGTGCTTCTGTGAAGATCCTTTGCATATGCAATATTTGCAAGAAGAATAGAAGAACTCCACCTATTTTCTTTCTATGTCTGTTCACTTACACATTCT